GCTGCTTATGATCACTATGTTGATAATATTTTTATTCGTTACATACTATAGCCTGTGTTATAACAGTTAGATCAACAGATAAGCTCTTGAGCTATTCCTTTTCACTTTGTAAACATGCAACCATTGCCTGTGATATTGAGAAAACAGACTACTACTAGATCTAACTACTGAGCAGTCAACACACTCAGCATCAGCTCAGTGTGCCTTATTCAGTCAAGAGACAAGTTATTTTGAAGTCCTATCATGACTGTACCCCCTAAATGGCAAAATGGACCATGGTCTGGAAATTTGTCTTTTTGCTTTATCACTAATATTTTCTCATAATTATTATTATTCATTCTTTTTAATCTTTATTATTATTGTTCAGCTAATTACTATTATTATTTATTCCGGCATTCCACCAATCATTCACAGTCATAGTCTCTTAAAATTTTACTATTAGCTATTGTTACTCATTTAGCAATTTGTGTTTATTGTAGGATGTCAGCATGGCTTGCTGGCAACCCTTCAATAATAATTTATCAGTTCTCATTGTATTTCCCAATTTCATTTGTAATATAATTATGCTTTGGTTTAATAATTGTAAAACCTTCATTAAATTAAAATAATTATTAAATTAAATTAAAGTAATAAATTGAGATGTTTGTATAAGAAATATTGATATAGCTACCCCTGGCCAAAGCAACTTAAACACGTGAATAAAATTCACTTGATAAGGGACCTATAGCAGTTTAAATCAATTTGTACTGAAAATGGGAAATGTATGTATGAACAAACTTGAAAATTAATGACTTAATAGCATCTAATAATTTTTTATTGGAATGGAGTGATCATAAACAGCCTACCTGTTCTGAAACTGCAAAAATGATAAAGTTCTTATCAAAAACTCAAATAGAGCTAATAAAAGTTCTGTCCTGAAGCATAGATATCATTCTTTCAGACAGATCAGTCAAGTTTCAGTACAGATCCGCGAGCGTTCCGCGTTGATCCGCATTTCAGCCCGATCCGCATTTGATCCGCATTTTAGGCTGGCCCATTTTGTTTGGGGGGGGGGGAATCCTACTTAGTAACGCTACCGCGTTACTAATAATTATGACTTTTTGTAGCACCATGACAACTGAATTTTTGCAAATGAAACCAGATAGTATCATCCCATTAATTTGACGAAATTAAAATCATTCCTTCATGCATGTATAAAAGTCATGGGTGGATTGGTTCTCCAAATACTCCAATTATGTAAATGTATTTTTGTATGTGACCATAGATACTGTATAGCTAGAAATTTTTTTGGAAAAATCGCAGAAAGTTAATCCTCAAAATTTTGGTACACAATTTATTGACCTAGATCTATTTAAATTAAAAGGCATGATAAATTCGTAAAATAAAATCCACAAAAGCCATTTTGATGACAATTTGCAAAATATTTGGGCCACTGACAAAAATTTCTAGCTATACGGTACTATACAAACACAAGCTAAAGTAGGATAGGATACAGTATGATATTTTTGCTGCACAATGGGCAATGGGTCTGGCCGCTACGTCAGCTTAAGATGATTATCAATTCTCATGAGAAGCAAACAGCATAAGTGCATTCATTCATTTATCATTATGACCCAGCTCGCTCCGGCCCCACGTGCGTGAGATGGTGCATGAATACTATCATAA